GGCCTTCTGGTGGATCGACCCCAAATCTTTCTTCTCCTAGGTCGACTCCTAGCCATCTCAACCAACCACCTCCTAACACACCCTAGACTCGGCCTGATCTGAAGGGCAAGTCTCCCATGGTGGAGTCACTTATATCCCACCCTAAGACTAAGTGTTCCCGGTGCCATGAATATGGCATATCACCGCCCAGTACTCTAGCTTATTGAAGAAGTGTCTGAGGAAGACCTTGAGCTCGAGGCTAACCTCATTCACCAAGTAGATGATGAAGGTGAATTTTTTGAGGAGGATGAGAATGATACTGATATCATCCATTGCATCAAGAAATGGGACCCCTCACCCCTATGTGTTGTTAGATGTGCACTGTCACACCCCCGATCTGTTGATGACTGGATATGGCTTCCATTTTCACACCTACACCAAATTGAAAGATAAAAATTGCAAAGTCATCATTGATAGTGGTAGTTGCATCAATGTTGTCTCCTCCAGCCTGGTGACCCGCCTTGCCTTGTTTGTTGTTCCCCACCCCAGTCCATATATAGCTTGGGTCAACTCCACTGCCTTGGAGATGAGGGAACGAAGCCTCATACCCATCTCCTTTTTTGATTATAAGGAAAATGTTTGGTGTGATATCTTCGTTATGGATGTGGGTCAGGTTATCTTGGGCCGCCCTTGGCTTTTTGATAACGATGTCCACATTTCTGGTTGTTCAAACATCTATGTGTTTGAACATGGTGGCAAGAAGATCAAACTCTTGCCTAGTCAGCCAAAGTCTAAGGATGAATGTTTGGTGTGATATCTTCGTTATGGATGTGGGTCAGGTTATCTTGGGCCGCCCTTAGATTTTTGATAACAATGTCCACATTTCTGGTCGTTCAAACATCTGTGTGTTTGAACATGGTGGCAAGAAGATCAAACTCTTGCCTAGTCAGCCAAAGTCTAAGGATGAACCTAAATCCAACCCTGTGAAACCTAGTAAAGGGCTCAACCTTAAAATCTACCAAGATTATTGATACCTGTGTGGCCAAAGACGCACCCCTTTATGCCTTAGTAGGTGAACATGTGAAAAATTGAGATTCTAAATTGCCTATAGCTGAATTTGTCTATAATAATTCTGTGAATCGTACTATAGGTCTAAGTCCAGCTGAGATAATATATGGTTTCAAACCTAGGCAGCCTATATATTTGATTGCCATGAGTCCTAGGTCTAGAGTTAGTGAGTCTGCATCATTTGCATCTCATTTGCATGACTTGCATAAAGAGATTTTAACAATGATAAATCAAAGAAATGCAACTTATAAACTTCAGGAAGGTATTAAGAAGTGATTCAAAACTTTTAAAGTAGGTGATTATGTGATGGTTTGGATTCGTCCGGAACAGTTCCCGAAAGGGGAAATTAAGAAACTACATGCTAAGAGTGCTGGACCTTTTAGAGTGGTGAAAAAAATTAATGACAATGCTTATGTAGTGGATATTCCTTCAAATTTTGGCATAAGCCCCTCCTTTAATATAGAGGATCTAGTAGCCTATGAGGGACCTGATTTTAACCCAACCAATCCATATGTTGAGCCTTGTGTGAACCCACATAGTGAGCACCCTGGCCTACCTCCACTACCCAAATTACCCAATTACCCCCAAGCGGATAAAATTGATATCATGTTGAGTGATGAAATTATTTCTACTAAGGATGGAGGAAGAAGAAGATATTTGGTTAGGTGGAAGGATAAGCCGAAGATCGAAGATACATGGCTTGAGCGTGAGTTGTGGAGGATCGACCCAGATTTATTGGAGCGGGACGAGAGTTCACATGCAGCTGACTCGACAAGGTCGAGTTTTCTCCCACCCCGGGAGAATGGTGAGGACATCAGAGCTTGGAGGGTTTATCACCGTCGAGGCCGTAGAACTACGACTTGATTAAGTCTTTATATATTTTTTAGTTTTCATGTGTTGTAGGAGACTTATGTGATGTTATTTATTTTATTATAGTTTTAACCTCACTTGAGGGAGCTTTTGTGTTGTTTGGCCAAGGGACTTCTAGTTTTTGGTTTCTTTCATATTTTTTGTGCCTATATATATGGTCTATTGTTTTCTTGTAAGGATGATGAATATTTAATATAAAATTTCTGGTTATATGCTTTCCCTTCTCTTGGTGAGTTGAGTTTATGGGTAAAGTCCTTTGGAGAAAGGCAAAGCAACACCCAACAACCGTCGCCGTGGCAAGGTTCTTGGTTTTTTTCTATCTCTTTTCTCCCCCATCTTTCTTCCAAATAGTCCATCAAGCACTCCAACCTTTCCAAACAGCCAACCGAACATTCCAACCCTTCCCAAGAAGCCACCAAGCCTTCCCACCCTTTAAACAATAGGTCGACCCCTTCCCTTCCCCTCCAGACAGCCAATTAAGCCTCCCTCCCTCTTTCGAACAGTCGGCCAAACTTCTTGTTGATTTCCCTTGGTCTGCCAGCCTTCCCCTTACCTCTTGGTATTCCCTCCACCTTTTTTTCTTCCCAATCATCATTAACTCCATTTAATTAAAGCCCTTCCTATTCCCTAATTGCTATCTTTTCTCATTCCCAATCCTCATTAACTCCACTTAATTAAATTTTCTCCCTTTCCCAAGCCTAACTTTTCCTTTTCCCAAGCCAACTACTTCCCTTCCCAAGCAAACCACATCAACCCTCTCTCGTTCCCAAGCAATCAGCCCCATCTCTCTCTTTCCCAAGCTTACTTTTCACTTTCCTAAGCCAACTACTTCCCTTCCCAAGCAAACCACATTAGCCCTCCCTCTTTCCCAAGCAACCAACTCAACCTTTTCACCTCCCAAGCTGATTTCTTCACTTCCAAAGCCTCATATAGCTGAAACTTTCTTTTCCCCTCACTATTCTACCTTTTCAAGAAAACCTAGCTTCTACTATTGCAACAAGGACATTGATTCAACAAAGAAAAAGGGTTCCAAGGGAAATACAAGGAGTAACTAGCCGTCATTTCATCAAGGACTCCATTATTCCCATTCATGAGCTAAGTATCAAACCCTTCTGTTGTTCTTCATCTAACTAAATATTGGTCTTCTCATTTCATCCATAATAGCATCATCTTATATGTATTGATTAATCTGCCAAGCCCTACTTAAATTTGAGTGATCGGAAACTCTAGTGACTAGTCCCTTAATTAAATGTTGGACTTGTGCCAACTCATGTTAGCTAGTCTAAATTGATTCACCTATCTTTATTGTTTAGCCTTTACTTGTTAGTTTCTTGCTATCACGTGATCTAATAGTTCAAATTTTCTTATTGTTTTAATGTTTATGAAGTTTATTTTGCTGTCTTTGACATTATTTTAGCATAACTAATTGCATGACTTATTTCGCTTAGTCCTGCATCACAAAGTTACCATTTAGGAAACTAATCCATCAATTAATTGAGCATATAGAAGTAAATGCCACCAAATGAACATGGGTACGAGTTTTTGGCCTCGCAACAACATAAATAATACACAAACAATACAAGCAGCAATGCAACTTGATGCATGCAAACTACTATTTATGTTTGTTTTTATTGTAATTTGAATGTTATAATTTTTTATTTAGTTTTTTTTTATGCTATCCTATGATGGAAAACATCCAATGATCATGAGTAGGTAGTGCTTGGGCATGGCAAACCTTGGGTGTGCTAGATAATTGGGTTCTTTGCTCTTTTGGGCTGCTTTTGCCTCTCGGGTTGAGCCTTGGCTGCTCGGGTTTGGGCTGTGTTCTTTGGGTGCTTCTTGGTCCCAGCTCATAACTGCTTGAGCTAAAAGTTTAGCTCATTAATTTGAAAAGGTATTCTACTTGTTAAGCTCATTAAGTGGAGTTGGAACTTTTATCTTCCCCTTCTTTATGCCCCCTCGGTTTCTTTCTGGTGTTGTTTCCCATGACTGGTTCTCCTCCCTTTGCTGGGTGTTGGTTCCGATCCCTTGTGCTGCCTTTTCTGTTTCTTCCGTGACTGCTTTCCCATGGTTGCTTTACCCAGTTCCTGCATTGCCATTTCGGGTGCTACTCTGTTTTGCATGTTGACCTTTCTCTTCCCCTTACCTGATTGGTTCGGTTGGAGGTGGAAATTGGCTCTTTGGCTGCCCCTTTTCTCTTATAAATTAGAGATGTATTTTTCATGGGGAGGTTGTTGATTATCTTGAGAAAAGTCTCTAAAAACCTGAGGTTTCTTCTCCTTTATTGGAAAAGCTTGAGAGCTTGTTTCAATTCTCTCTTCCTGCTCTCTATTTCATCTTGGCTTCTAATCTCTTCTTCTCTACGCAAGTTCCACTGCACTTGTATCCTTCTTCTTGAGCTTTTGGAAGGTGTTTGTTGGCTGATTTGGTGACATTTGCAGGAGGAGTTTGGTTGGACGTTGGACCTTATTGTTGTGATGAACCCTTAGTTTGCAAGCCCTAAGCACTTATCTTATTTTACCTACTTTTCGTTGCATGTGAGGAAACCGTTTGTCGGTTGTTCTAAGGACAGTGTTTTTATTTTTAAATTTTGTTTCGTTTGTTCAACTTTGGATTGTTTTGGTGTTTTGTTGGATATCGATTTTCTAGATTGAATCGAGTTTGTTCTAGTTGTCCTAGTGTTCTCCTCTATTGACTCTTTCTTTCTAGTTTGCCTGCATCACAACTATAAGGGAATTTAGAAATTTGTAAAATTGACAATTTAAGTGCAGGGTAGGTGGGTGCCATTCATGCAGTGGCTGATGATCTTAATTTTTAACCATGATAATTAAAACAAGACCATTAAGTAACCTTCACATATTATGAAGTAACAACAGAAATAAGCTATGTGGCAAATCATTTGTAAGCCTGAACACGATACCTGTTTATAAATTCAGTATGCAGTGCAGTAAAGTAAATGACCAGGAACTTCAACTGTTCCCTCTTTTTCTACTTCTGGGTTACCTAATTTTAAAAAACGAAAAAAAAAGAGAGGAAAAACGCTTGGGAGGGGGACAAAAAAAAAAGCAGCATCACACCTGTCATCTCCCAAAAGAGAGAACCTTTAAAAGTTGCATTTATGTGTGAGCGATAAATATCATAAGAATCCAAGATAATTACAAGCTTTCAAATTTGCTAGAATCCAATAGTCATCTTTGAAGATGTCTGATAAATATAGGCATTTGAGAAACCCTTCATGGAAATCCTTCGTCACTAGCATTGAGGATGACCTTTAGATACTCTCTTCAGATACTCCAAACAACAATCCAAGGGTCAAAGCCTGCACATTTATTTTGACACGACAGAACTATTTGAGTCTTTAGGGCCAAGAACCAAATACCTTTAAATGGTTCTCACTGAGCTAATTTTATGAAGCCAACTAATGAACTATACAGTATAGTAAATTAAAAAAAAAAAACATATCAGGCGAATTACACTAATCCAGGATAGCAATCCTTTACTGAATGAAGATATCATCAAGTTCCCCTCGGTGAATTTCAATGACCAGAGAACACTTGCCATCGCCCAGGACTTTGAATGATGAATCCTGTTACCCAAGAAAAAAAAAAAAGAGGAAAAAGGAAAGGAACAAAAAGGGAGGAAAATAGGAATCATCACACGGATATTACAAGAGCAAGAAACCCTGCTAGTCAAAACAAGCTTGAAATTATGTAAAGACGTGATGCACCTCATGAAAAGAAATGTCTCATCATCCACAGAATCATTTCAGGAGCACACAGCAAGGAATCCCTGCATTAATTCATAAGCTATATTACCAGCTCAAGGCTTGACACATTATCAAGTCTTTTCGGTTAGAAACAAGATGAACACAGAAACATTGTCATTCCAACAAAGAACATCACTGAAAAGTTCACACATAGTACAGTAATAGAATAAGAACAAGTTCATGACAATCATTCAACAAAACAGACCATTTCTAAGACAGGAAAGAGACATATACTAGTTAACATAAAACTTAATGCGTCCATAAATTTTAATCTCTGCAGTGCTGCAAGCACAATAATGTGCGCTGAAATACAAAAACTTATTAATATTGGCTTACCAGAACAATTCTTAAGATATGGAAGTTTTCGAAGTTTCATTTCCTTAAACGCAGCATTTGGCTTTCATTTGCTAGTCAGAAATCACAACGAACGCTCATGTGCTAACTTGAGCCACTCCTGCAAGATCTAGAGCTTCAGGTCCTGCAAGTAAAACTGCCGATCAGAAGAAAACTAACTATCAAGTTCTATCATCTAAGTATATTGGGCACAGGTCTCCAGAAAAAGTTAAAATAAGCTTGTCAATGCAGCAATGCTGACAAAGCGCGTATTAGTCTTTCCTCATTCAATCTTGCTCAAGAATTCACAAGATCGTCTCTAAAGTAGTAAGTCATCAGTTGCACCCTTAATGAGTTTTTCCTTGCAAGAATTTAGCATCCTATTTTAAACAACCTCCCACTCTAGAATCACATCTACTTCTTGTACCAGCGCATCTTCATTATTTAATGGTTCATGATTTATGCACTCTTGAGGACGTGAAACTTCCATGCACCCTGTTTCTAATGTATCATCTTCTTTTAAAACATCAGCACTCCTGAGACCAGCAAACCCTGAGAAATGTACATCAACATTCTCAGCCTCGCCAGATACCATAGCCTTACATTTGATATGCCCACTAATCATATCAGTTTCTCCAATTTTCGGATCACTTTCAAATATAATTGAGTCATGATTAAAATGATCTTGATGAGTACTTAACATATTCATTTCTGTTGATTTCTGGTTATATGATTTTACTTCATCAACATTTTTGCCAAATTCATCGCCAAATTCTTCGTGATTGTGATTTCCTGAAGTCATGGCATCCAGTTTTGGCTCCACACATACAGAATAATCACCTATTGCCCCAATAGATGTTCCTGGATATCCAACTGTCAGACATTGCTTTCTAGTTATACCAGAGGTACAATCCTCTCCCATGTCTGGATCACCATTAGCAGCAACATTTTGTTTGACAACCACCGAGGCAATTTCATCAAAATGATCACGTTGCTGTGTTGCATCCTCAGTTGCAGAAGAGTCTGAACCATCAGGCTGTGCCACGGTGGAATAAATGTCCCTATCCTTCCTTTTAGCTGAATATGTAGATTCTTTAGCTTCACTTCCACTCCTATGATGTTTTGTATACTCCACTTCTGCATATTCTTTCTTTCCTCGATTGCTGGTATCCTTGGAAGATCTTCCGTCCAAATGCCTTGAACTTCTGTGTGATCTTGAGCTCGAATAATGTGACGCCCTTCTATCATCTCTGGAATGTGAATATTCTCTTTCCTTTGTAGCAAAGTCTAGTTTTTCATGTTTTCTATAAATTCTACTTGATTTCTCATACTTGCTAGATCCTCTGTTTTCAACATGATAACCATCAGTAGCATTATCTGAAACTTTCCTATGTTTATGATTTTCAGAGTAGATATCATTGACATCTCCTGAAATTTGCTTCCGTGATGATTTTGAATTTTCTGAACCAACAAACTTCCTATCTTCAACAACATCCATCTCTTCCCCAATAGGGTTTACCTCCCTTGCTAGGGATTCTTGTATTAATGAATTACTTTCATCCATCTTAGATTTTTTATAGTGGCCAGAAGCTTGATCATTCCTTGCAGCCACATCTTCAGATATGCAGCTTCCTGTAAGACCCAAGTTCTCATCTTCTTTAGTCTCCCTAGAACTTTTAGTATCATTAGCATTTTTTTCTTCTGTTATCTTGGCTCTATCAAGTTTCTTAAACTCCTGATTCAGCTTTTCTAATTTTCCAGCTTCATCTCTTTCATTGGAATAATTCCTTTTCTCAGCTGATCTAGACCTTGAGTGCCTTCCACGACTGGATGAAATTCCGTTGTCCCGAACTGGAGATGACCTGCTTCCTCTATGACGCCTAGGAGATCTTGAACCAGGTTGAAATGATCGCTTTGGTCTGGGACTTTTACTTCCTCTATAACGCTTTGGTGATCTGGAACTTGCCCGAGATGACCTTCTCAGCAGAGGACTTGGACTCCTACTCCTGCGTCTCATTGAAGAAGAGGAATAGTGATCACGTGAGCTTCCCTTATCATGGTATCTCTCTCTTTCCCACCTTTCAACTCTATTGTAACTATCCCTTGGGTCTTTGTACTGCCTTCTTTCATTACTACGACGGCGGGATCTTATGGGGGATGGTGATCTGCGAGGTCTAATTCGGGGTGGTGATCTGCGGGATTTTTTTGGGGATGGTGATCTACGGGATCTTACGAGGGGTGGTGACCCACGATCTCTAGTGTATCTAACAGGAGAGATAGACCGGGATCGCCTGCTCCGCCGGAACTTGATAGGAGATTGTGATCGAGAGTTAGATCTATGTTGAGGAGAAGCTGGTGATCTGGTCAAAATTTTCGCAAAGTTAGTTAAAAAAGATAACATAACAGAGCAAAAATATAGGCCAAAAATAGAGAAGCACTCCCTAGTTACACACCTAAGACCCATCAAAAGAGGTATCATTTCTTCATAATAGGAAAGGACCAAGCAAAAGCTCATTGGTGTTGCAGTATAAGCCAGTGTCACTTTTTTTTTTTTTTTGCAAAAATCACATTATAGAACAGAAATTCCATGAAATTGGTTCACATTTGAAAAAGTAATACTGATACCTGGATTTTTTGTTAACTTCCTTATCATCATCTACCAAGCCCTCAGCTTTTAACTTCTTACTGATTTCAGCAGCACGGGCAGATGCCATCTCAGTTGCAGATTTCATTGTTGCAGCTCGAGAAGCAGCCTGCTGGGCTGACATTGTTTGCTGCATCAGTAAAGCTTGCTGAAATTGCATCTGTTGCAAAGCAACGGCTTGCTGCATCATAAGAGGCAAAGAAGAGTTCAATACGGAGGATTTGGCAGGGAGGGTTTTAGCGATCTCAACATTTAATGGTCGTCCTCCAACATCTATGTTGTTCAATCCCAGCGCTGTAGTAGCTTCTTCTGGTGTTGAATACTCTATGTAAGCAAAATGCTTTGAATCTGTAATCGTGCAGTCCACCACCGTACCACAGTAACCAAAAAGCTGTTTAAGCTGATCAACAGTAAGAAGAGGGCATAAGTTACTAATTTGCAGCGTCCTTTTCAAAGCATCAGCCTTTCCAGCCTTGTCCATAGAGTCTGAAAAAAAAAAATTTTAATCAGTCAACAATCTAAATTTGTAAGAAAAAAAATGAATAACATGAAAGACTAAAGTAGCTGCTTGTTGAAACTAAACATAGCATAATCCAGCAATTTAGATAATGTAATTCATGTCTTTCAGGCCAAAACAGATTTTTCTTAGTTAATTGGTCACATTGAACATCATAAAAATTTTAACTTAAATATGAAGCTTGATTTTTTTTTTAATTTAGTGAATTAATTATTTATAAAGTTCCTCTAAATAAAACGTTACTAGCTTGCTAGACTTCTTAATTTTCTTTTAAAACCTAAATTCCTTTGCATCATTATGCTAACTAAAAAAGTACATTTAACATAGTCAATTAAAAGTTTAATTAATGATGCAATTTAAAAAAAAATCTAAGCTATGCATCTATTCTACAACAAAATAACCATTATAAGCTTCATAATTATATTCCTACATACAATGAGAGGCATAGTATTTGAGAAATTTCAGGGTGGATGAATAAAATGAAAGATTATTCATCGTTATCTATTTTATTAGAAAATAGTTGAAGTTACAACAACAACAACAACATCAAGCCTTTATCCCCCTACGTGGGGTCGGCTACATGAATCCTTTTTCTCCATTGTGTCCTATTAAAAGCCAAATTCTCGTTTAAATCTAATAAAGAAAGGTCATTCCTAATATTTTCTAACCAAGTCTTTTTAGGTCTACCCCTACCTTTCTTAACACAAGTCAAATCTAATACCTCTACTCTCTTAACTGGGTCGTCGGAAGGCCGCCTTTTTATGTGACCAAACCATCTAAGGCGACTCTCTCTAATCTTATCTTCTACTGGAGCTACTCCAACCTTTTCACGTATATGCTCATTTCGTATCCTATCTCTAAGGGTAAAGCCACTCATCCATCTAAGCATCCTCATCTCTGCCACACTTAACTTAGAAAATAGTTGAAGTTGTGAAAAAAAAAAAAAAAACTAGGGGTCATGCTCGATTATTTAGGCAAAGCATTGCAAGTGAACCAAAACAAATATGGGTTGGCATGAAACATAAACTTAAAGAGAAATATCTTTGAATTAAAAAATATTGAGTTGAATTGCACAATCAATTTCAAAATAAATAAAAAGTTCTAATATGCTACAAAATTATGTAGGCCTTGTATGCCTTGTAGAACCACCTGATTTCCCCTATTTCTTACCACTAGTTTCATCATTAAATCTAATCTAAGAGTTTAGAAAAGAACTAAGCTACAACTCATGTTAATTTGCATATATATATATATATGCTAGGTGATTGAAAAAAAGGGCCTACGTAGTGCGGGGGGCTGAGGGGCTCCCGCTAATATTAAAGTCCAGGGAGTTGTAGCTAAGCGATCAACATGGTCTAATCTTATAGGTAATCCAAATCTTAATCTAAATATTGTAACTATACTAAATGTTTGCTTCAAACATGAAGCCAACTGTAAAATGGTTCTTATTCTTACTTAAGCATTAATGGGAAGAATAAAGCACTGAAAATCACAACTCTTGGTCCAAAAGCAACGAAAACCAGTTCACTATAAGACATAAAATTAGAAAATGGGCTGTGATATCAAACACGAAACACTAAATGAGAGGTAAGAAGGCAAACCAGATGATTCTCCTATTGATTTGGCCTGTGCTTGCATCTGAGCTGCATGTGCCTGAAGTGCCTGAGCTGCCACTATTGCTTGGGCTGCAGCCATCGCAGCAGCAGAAGGAGCCATTGGCTGCTGACTCAAGGTCCCCATAGTTGTTGTAGCTGCTAGTGCCGACATCAGCAAATTATGAGGAGGGTGGCTGTACTTGCAATCAGTACTTGCACACCGTCCATTCAGATACTCCCTACATATCTCTCCTAGGGATGATCCTACCCCTGGTAGAACCACTCCTCCAGAAGAACCTGAGGAGACCCCTGGAATCATTCCAAGGAGTCCAGGAAATGCCCCCGAGACAGAGCCAGAGTAATTCGGCATGTTAGGCATTGTCTGATTAACTAAATTATGGTAAGACGTTGTGGTGGTAGGAAAAGTAGTAGTACCGATGGCGGGACCAGTACTGAAGAACACCGGAAAAGGGCTGCCCATGATCGGCTTTCCATTGCACTCCACATGAACCATATAATTCCCACGCTTGGGCACAGCATAGGTTACCGCATAAGTGCCATCCCCCTGGTCCTTAACCATGCCCTCCAGGTCCACTCCACCAACACCAACACCAGGCGAGATCTTAACCTTGATCTGGGAACCGCCAGTGGGAATTTTCCGTCCATCTGAGTCCTTAGTAAGAATGCTAAAGGTAGAGGGAGAGCACGCAGTTCCGCCTGCAATGCCAGCACCAGCAGCCAAGCACTTGGAAGAATCAACAGGACCAATGGGCTTGTTAGGCAATTCATCCTCATCCCTCTCATTATCATCGCTATCCGAAGAATCATTCCGAGCTTTTGCCTTGTCAACGTCCTTGAAAGTGGCCTCAAATGCGGCTTTGGCAGCAGCGTCCTTATCCGCCTCACTCTTGATTCTGGCCTCCTCTGCCTGCTTCATCCATATCGGCTTAGTTGCCACTACAGACCGATCTGCCATGGATCTCTCGTATAATTTGAAAACCCTAAAACAGAGCGGATTGGATCAGGCTGAAATTTGGAGGAAACAAAACAAATTGTCAGAAGAAAGTTTCATTGCTCGGGAATAAAACTAGATCGGTGTATTTCGTTGAGCGCTAGGGTTACGGTTTGATCTCTCAGAAAGAGAGAGAGAGAAAGGACAAACCTCAGATCGCGGCGGAACCGGACGGTTTCCCCTCCGAAATCGCTGCCGCTTCTGAAGGTAAGCGAGGTGGTGTGCGGCCGACGGGAGTACACGATGCAGCAGAGAGACTGGCTAGCGGAGGCGGAGATGTAAGAGGATAAATCGACATATTATCGTTTTTATTATATTCAGAGGAATAAGGTTTTTATTTTTATTTTTTGGACGAATACTGTAGAAAATGGGAAAGGCTTTTTTGACGGCCTGAAAGACCCACTAGGTAAAGGAGTCCAGTCCATCAGGAGTCCCGACTACTACTAATTTTGCTGGCCCATCAGCTTGAGCTTGAGCCCAAACTTGACTCACTTGAATAACATCATATTTGAACTTGGCTCGTGAGTTCAAGCCAAAATAGTGGAACGTGTCATTGACAGGAAACTTGCAGGAGGTGGCATTCCCGCCGATGAACTAACCTGCAATAGGAGTTCACTTGAAAAGGCATTGATGGGACCAAAGGAAAGTCATAGTGAGAGTTTGTTGGATAATGCACCGATGTGGCCAGCAGTGCTTAGCGAGAAAATTTGCAAGACCTCAGGATGAGATGTCGCTGGATAAGATACAGAGAAGATCAAGGTTTTAAAAAGGACCGAACTAGCCAGTTCAATCGGAAACCGATAGGGCAATCGATATGATCCTACCATAAAATCATTTTGTGATAGAACCAGAAAAAAAAAAGGGTGAATCACTGGTTCAACCAGAAAATCGGTAAAAACGATTTTCAAAGAACCTCCGGGTTGAACAAACCGCAAAACCTAAATCGTAGATCGCACATTCAAGAAAATAATTTCTCCCATGTTATCCTAACATTTTATCACCTTCAAAAGTGGGTGATTTATATCTCTGTTGGTCTTCATAGAAAGGGGTTGTTCTACACTATCCTTAATTAGGGGTGTCAATTCGAGTGAACACGTCAGGTTTGGGTCAAACTCGGAACTGACCCGACACTATTCGGGTCAACCCGAACCCGACCCGTTTTTAAAAACGGGTCAGGTTTCCAGACCCGAACTAGACCCAATTCGGGTCCGGCTCAACCTGACACGACACGAATGACCCGAAGTTGACCTAAAATTGTCAGTTTTCGGGTCAAAAAATGGGTCAATCTTGGGTTTCCGGGTCAAATAGGAGTTTTCATGTTAATTTCTGGTCATTTTCGGGTTGTCGGGTCAACCCGAACCCGACCCAATTTTTAAAACGGGTTGATTTGTTGAACCCGAACCCAACCAATTTCGGGTCCGGGTTGACCCTAATCCGGATTTTTCCGGATCGGATTCAGATCGTGTCAAAAATTGACACCCCTATTCTTAACATATGTAATCAACACAATAAGACTCAAAATCAGCTTTAGCTACTATGTTGAAGCTTGCTATTGGCCTGTAAAATTATATTCCAACATTTAAATGAACTATTGGAATTTCCAAAAAGGACCAGATCCAATTGAGGTATTTGGAATTCCCAAAGCACCCATTTGCTTAGAGCTTCTCAGCCCTTGCATTCTCTATTACATCCTCTGCTCTACATCTTGCTCTTACGTTTCGTTTGAAAAAACTTTTTTATTGCTTCTTAAAGTATTTTTTTAATAAATTTTTTTAATTTTTTATAAGAATTATGTTATAAGAAATAATAAGAAAGATGTCTCAAATGAAACCTTAACTAATAATAATGCTGTTGTTTCTTAATCATAATCCCATTTTCTTTAGCTATATTCAACACTCTTGTTTAACTTAGTTGGAAAAACTTAATTCGGTATTATCTTATTGACTACTTTGTGAAAAAAAATAATCATAAATAAAAATAAAATACAAAATATAAAAAATATTATTGATTACTTTGTGGAATGATCACTAGGTCTTTCACAATTGCATTTTATGCTAAACTTCATTATATGTTGCCATTGCTATTTTTTCTTCTTCACAAGAAAATAATTATTTAATCTTGTGTCATATTTCCTTGGTAACTTGCAATTTCTTATAAAATTTTTATTAATTTATTGTGAAAGTTTTATGCTTCATAATTTTTTATTGTGTATAATTTTCTCAAATATTATGAATGATTGCATTATTAGTAGGTTCATTTTATTACTTTTTTAATAAATTTAGTATTTATGATGTCATCGAGCTCGATCCTGATTTAATCCTGGTTAAACTATCAAATTGTGAACTTCTCGTTCTAATGGTTCAATTTTCATAACTTTGGGGGAGATAGACGGCGTTTTATGAAGAAGAGAAGTTCATGAGATGGAAGTACAAGACTAAGGTTTGAGCTCGGCGTTTCATGTCTGATTTAAATTGAGTTGCAAAGAAAGATGTGGGATTTAGGATTGAAAATTAATTCAAGTTGGCTTGTAAGCAAATGAGCCAAGTCTCATCAAGCTAGAACTCGAGCTCTTATTATACAAAAACTCTAATATGTGTTGTAGCTCAAGTTCGTGGCTCAACTAGGCGGCTTTATTAACTAGTTGAGTTTAAGCCAACTCGATTCACACTCCTAGACATGACTCTTGCTTATTTTAATTCTTTCAAATAAAAAAAAAAAAAAGAAATGAACTTTGAAAATTGTTGCGTCCTAGAATATTCGTGGCGGTAGAGAAACATATAGTTTAACGTCTTAGTTTTGTATGAAGAACCAGCACACAATCAGTTAAGATAGAGTAGGCAACATTTATAAGAGGCATCAAGATTTTTTACATGGGAAAAACCCGCGGGGCTTGGCCTATTTTGAGTGAATCCACCAGTATTTACAGTCGATAACAAATGAGACCCTTCCTTGGGGAAGGCCTTGGCTTGATGTAATAAATATACATCATATAAAATGCATTACATGATATGACTAGAAAGAATCACTATTGATATGTTTGTTTGGTTGGTAGAGCCATAGTCGACGTGCGACGGAGATCGAAAAGATCGTAGTCATGTGACAGTTGTCGGAGGGCCCATAGTCAGCTAGCGACAGCGGTCAGAAAAGACCATTTTTTGTCAACGAATGTCAGAAGGACCGCAATTTGATTATAAAGGTCAGAATGGCCGTAGTCTGCTGGCGATAGTGGTCATAAAGACAGTTCTCTAGCGACGAATGTCAGAATGACCATAGTCTGCGGGCAAAAGTGGTCAAAATTACAGTTGTCTCGTGAAGGAGGTTGGATGGACCGTAGTTAGATGACGACGAAGGTCGGAAGTTCGACGATGGGCGAAAGTTTGGCGTCGGGCAAAGGTTCAATGATGGACAAAAGTTCTATGTTGAATAAAAGTCAGACAGAAGTCTGGCGACGAGCAAAAGTTTGGTGACAAGTGGAGGTCCATTGTTGGGTAGAAACTCAATAATAGGTGGAAGTCTGACGTTTGGTAGAAGTCCGACGAAAGTCTGACGATGGCATAAGTCCAATTTCGGGTGGAAGTCTAGCGTCGGGTAGAAATCTGGTGACTATAAGAAGTCTGACGTTAGTTAGAAATTTTGGTGATGGGCGGAAGTTATGCGTTGGGTAGAAGTCTGATGAAAGTCCCGCAACAGGCAGAACTCCAGTGTTGAACTGAAGATTGGCATCAAATAGAAGTCCGAAGAAATTTCGGCAATAGGTAGAAGTCCAACAAAGGGTGGAAGTCTGGTGTCGCGTAGAAATCCGATGATGGGTAGAAGTCCAGCATCAATCGATTGGCATAAGGTGGTCGAGGAGGGAGATAAAGGGTAATTTGAGAGTGATTTGAATGGACGGTCGATATTGATTTCCTTAGTCGTGAATCATTTACTGAGCAGTTGAATGTCTTAATAATATTAGAATTTGATGATCTTGAGTTCGTTGTATTTGTTTTGTCGAGCCGTTCAATTTAACCATAAGCATGTCATATTTGGAAACCGTTTGGTAATCAAAATTATGGTCTAAACCTTTCAAATGTGTTTTCAGTCTTTGATTTGGACTCATTTGGGCTCGGATTGAGTTGAATTTGGTGTCATTGGGTTCATATTTCTGAGACATTCAGTTCGACTATAAGTTTGCTAAAGGAGTTTAGATGGTCTCGAATTTAATTTTTAATTTTTTCCCACTTGATTTTGCTTTGAGATTCATGCCCGATCAAGTTAATTTTTTGATGATATATCAAAAAAAGGAAGAAAAAAATAGACTTTTTGGGGTGTCAATTCAGGTCAACGGTTCGGGTTCAGGTCGAACCCGACCTTAAACAGGTTGACACTAACCCGACCCGATTTTGCAAACGATCTGGTTTGTCAACTCGGACCCGACCCGGTCGGGTTACCGGGTTGACCTGACCCGACCCGTTAGCTAAAAATCAAGCTCAATCCTGGCTCAGTGGAGTGCCGAAGTGGGTCTCGACCGCGCTACAGGAGCCACTACAGCTTTGCCAGTGGGACAGTCGTCAACAGAAGCGCTTGTAGGCGAGACAGACGGCGAAAGCGACCGCGCGGGATGGCTCTACGTCCGCGTAGTGCAAACAATACGCGAATCACCTGACCAGTCGTCGTGACCTTGAGTCCTTGATGCGACCAGTCTCAGAGACAAGATGCAGTGCAGCGAAAGGCTGTCGACGGTGGACGCGACGATGCACAGGAGTCCTGGCGCGACGACTGATGACACAGGTTTCACGCATTTGTTTATCGGGTCAAGCTGGGTTAGTTTCGGGTTTCCGGGTCAACCCGAATCCGACCCGATTTAACAAACGGGTTGAAATTGCTAACCCAAACTCGACCCGTTTGACAAATGGGTTGACCTAAACCTGGAATTTTACTCGTTGGATTTCAGGTCGTGACAGATTTTGACATAACCTATAATATACATTTATTGTAATGTCAGGGATAATAATGCAAAGTTGTTTGAAAGGTCAATCTAGACTTTTGTAGGATTAAATTTTTTTTCATAAAATGATTTATGTTTCAATGCCATGTCACCATGGATGACTTGGTGGTGAAATAGAAACAAAAAAAGAATTTTATTTGGGACAGCTTTCTTACTATTTTATTTTTACAAGCAATTTTTTATATAAATTTTTTTATACAAAAAAAAACTATTTTATAAACCAATAAAAAAGTTATCCCAAGCAAAATCTACTACTTCACCTGTAATAGCTTTCTTATTTCTTTCTTAAAATAAAAACTAAGGACAAATGA